AAGGAAAAAAATGAAAGAAAATAAGGAAATGCAGAACAGAGACAAAATTTTTATAATGAAAGAGAAATGCGTCTTTGTTTAGTAGGCCTACACTATTTTTTTTTCTTTAATAAATCAATTTCTAAAATATTTTCTTTCTTTCCGATATTTTAGAATTTAGAAATTAGTATAACATAAATACTCGCATTCCCATTTTACAAATAATGATGATGATGACAATGATAATAATGCTGATAATGAAAATCATAATTATAGTTATAATAACAATAATAATAATAATCATAATAATGTTTATGATAATAATAATAATAATAATAATAATAATAATAATGATAATAATAATGATAATAATGATAAAATAATGATGATAATGATAATAATTTGATAAAACAATAATGATAATGATGATAATGATAATGATAATATAGATGATATATGATGATTGACGATAATGATACTAATAATAATGATAACAATGATAATAATAATGACAAAAATGATGATGCTGATGTTAATAATAATGATAATGGTAATAATAATGTTAATAATGATAATAATCATAATGATCACGATAATAACAATAACAACAGTGGTAGTGATGTATAACTAATAATGATAATATCAATAATAACAATAATAGTGATGATAATGATAATGATATAATTATTAATAAAAATAACAATAATGATAATGATAATGATAATAACATATGTAGTAATGATAACAATGATAATAATAGTAATAATAATAATAATAACAATAATAATAATGATAACAGCAATAAAAAAGCAACATTCGATACAGACCTCGAGTTCACAATAACAAGTGTTACCAGCATGAACAAACCTTCCAAGCCACACGTGACGTCCTGAGCAATCGCCGGGCCTCCTTTATCTGGCAACACTTCCACTAAAAACTGCAATGGAACAGCTGTTTTGTCCCACGATACTTGTACACTCCCAGGGCCCACGTTGCTTACTCGGATGTGCAGGTCTGAGAAGAAAGAGGTGTGTTAATGTTTTTTTTTTTTTTTTTTTTTTTTTTTAATCTATTTTTTCGTTTGAAGGGAAGACAGTTTTTTTTTTTTTTTTTTTTTTTTTTTGGGGGGGGTTGTGTTCTATTTTCTCTCTCTCTCTGGGTGTCTTTATCTCTCACTTTCCCTTTCTCTCTCTCTCTCTGGGTGTCTTTATCTCTCTTTCACTTTTCTCTCTTCTCTCTCTCTCTCTCTCTGTCTTTCTCTCTCTCCCTCTTTCCCTCCCTCCCTCAATCCCTCTCATTTCTCTCTCTCTAATTATCTTTTTTTCTATATGTTTCATTCCATTTATATGTTACTATATTCGCTCTTTTTTGTTATTAGTTTTCTGACCTGTGACGGGAACCAGCGAAGAAATGCCTGGGTCACGTTGGGTCAAGAGAAGCTGTAGGTCTTTGACTTGACCTTCACCATTAGGATATGTAAGCGACTGAACGTTCTTTATTTTACAACCGTTGCTGTCGGGATATTATGAGTTGTTAGGGTTGTAATTATTATTATTATCATCAATATTTTCATTATTATTACTGTTGTTATGATTATCATCATAATCATTATTGATATTGTTATCATTTGTTGTTATTATCATTATCATCATCATTATTGTCATTGTTATTATTACCATATTATTATCATCATTGTTATTATTGTATTGTCATCATCATTGTTATTATTACTATTGCCATTGCTATTAACCCTATTCTTTATCATTATCAGGAGAATTATATCATTATCATTATTATCATTATTGCTATATTATCAAGTACTATCATCATCATCACCATCATCATTGTCATCTTTATCATTACCATTCCCGCCGACTCTTCCCAACCAGGCATCGAGATATCCAAACACGAAATGGATAATAATTTTTTTCTTAATCCTAAACCGAGGACCAACTCACGTGAAGGGAAGACAGTCTCCTTCGCCACTCTCAAGGACGTCACTGGGATCGAGAGCGTTAATAAGGACTCCCCTGAACCCTTCTTCCTCCACGCCCAGCCCTTCGTCAGCCGTTGCCGTGGTCGTCAGGGTCTTTAAGGGGCGTTCGGAGCTGGGTGAGGTCGTTTCAATGACGACACTCTCAATAGCCAGACCTTGATGGTGAAGTTTGAAGTTTAGGAGAAAAGGGGGTTTTCGAGGATTGGGTGTTGGTTCTTTGGTATGTGGGGTTGGGGAGGATGTTGTTTTATGTGGTGTGGTGATTCTGGGTTTATTTTTTATGGTGTTCTAGATTTAAATGTAAGCGAGGGGATTATATTTGCTTTTGGGATCCGAGTTCTTGTGGTGTGGTGAATCTGGGTTTATCTTTATGATGCTCTAGATTTATATGTAAGCGAGGGAATTACATTTTCTTTTTGGGATTCGAGTTGTAAGTTGTCTCGCTCATCTTACCAGTCCAGTGCCGTTCCACAGACTGCCTTCTGCTTCTGGAAGTTTGAATTATAGGATCCGTCACATCCAGGACTTCCGCCGCATATTCCCCGTACTTCTCCAGCCCGAGGAAGTAATAAGAACAACTACCATTCTTGCATCGAACATTTCCAGAAACGTCAACCACTACTGACGTTTCGGTTCGAGATTCGCCGATGCTGGTGGTGGCGAGAGGGGCGTGTCCGCGGGCTGGGGAAGGAACCGCCCAGATCTGAACGAGGTAGTTTCGTCCAGGTTCTTGGTTCCATCTTACACTCAGCGTCTCGGGGCCCTCCTGTTGCACGGCTGCGGTGACGTCTGGCAAGGAGGTACGATTCTTAGGGACGTTCTTGAATAAATACACCGTGCTTTATCTCACTCAAAGGCACGTTTTCGTTCAATTTATGCACCGTGCTTTGTTAATCTCATTCTAAGACATGTCCTCGTTCAGTCAATACACCTCGCTTCTTCTATCTCGACAGTGATATTGGTCGCATACAGCTTTAAGAAAAGAAATAAAACTTTTTCATGGCGTTTTAAAAAAGACACTCCAAGCCTTACTCTTAAGGGACAGCTCTTCCTGGGCCGCGGCAACCACGACATTGTCCTCCGACCTGGCCAGCACCAGCAGCACCACGTCCCCCTCGAAATACAAGTCACCCAAGGCCACCGGCGCCAAGCAGTAGAGACTCCAGGTCCCCGTCTGGTCCGGCTCGAGGTGGAGGACGCTCATGTTGACGACCTCGAAGCCGTCCTTGAGGAACGCGGATTCGTATTCGAGGGCGAGGTCTGGGGCGCCGCCGTCGGGGAGCGTGATGCAAGGGGACACGCCCTCTCCTGCGCTGTTTGTGATCCTTCGCACACTTAATTCTGTTGGAGGAATTCCGTAGTTTTGGAATCGGTGGAAGCATTGACGAGTATTTTTTCCTTTATTCACTGAAGTACCTTTTCTTGTTTTATTTTGAACTCTTTATTCATTTATTCATCTATCGCTTTGACGAGTACTCTTTCCTCATTTCATTTTTATCTATTTATTAACTGAAGTACCTTTTTCTTGTTATTTTGAACTATTTGTTCATTTATTCATTTATTGCTTTGACGAGTACCTTTTTCTTATTCTATTTTCAACTTGTTCATTTATTTATTTATCGCTTTTACGGGTTCTTTTTTTCTTTCGTTTTTATTTATTTATTTATTCATTTATTTATCGCTTTGACGAGTACCTCGCTTGAACTCTTTATTCAATTATTTATCTATCGCTTTGACGGGTATTTTTTCTTTCGTTTTTATCTATTTATTCATTTATTTATTTATCCTTTTCAAGTCTATTTGGTTCTTTGCTGGGTTTCTGAGTTAGTGTTCTTGCCTTGCATTCTTTTTGTCTGATCTTCCTGAGAGAGAGAGATTAGACGAGAGAGAGAGAGAGAGAGAGAGAGAGAGAGAGAGAGAGAGAGAGAGAGAGAGAGAGAGAGAGAGAGAGAGAGAGGAGAAGGGAGAAAGAGAGATGGAAACACACAAAGAGATACAAATAGAGACACACGTTTTAGAGAAGAGAGAGAGAGAGAGAGAGAGAGAGAGAGAGAGAGAGAGAGAGAGAGAGAGAGAGAGAGAGAGAGGAGAGAGAGAGAGAGAGAGAGAGAGAGAGAGAGAGAGAGAGAGAGAGAGAGAGAGAGAGAGAGAGAGAGAGAGAGAGAGAGAGAGAGAGAGAGAGAGAGAGAGAAAGAGGAAAGAGAAAGAGAGATAGAGATAGAGATAGAGATAGAGATAGAGATAGAGAGAGATAGAGAGAGAGAGAGAGAGAGAGAGAGAGAGAGAGAGAGAGAGAGACAGAAAGAGAAAGTGAAAAAAAAATACATTGCCAAATATTAAAGCATGTACCACAGAAACATAATATACAGAAACAGAGAGAGAGAGATACATAATATATATCACAGACCAACGCTCCCATCTGTAATATTCACCTTTACGAAAGTTACAAAATAAACTATAAATAACTCCAAACGAGGTCACAATCTTAGCTACAACTTACCATCTACTTGGTCTTGTGCAGAATAGGCCCAGGTCTTGTCTACAAGAAAAGAAAAAAAAAAGTTTCAGGAATATATTTAGACAGAAATATATTTGGTTATGTTTCCAGTGATTATTAAATATAGATGAAACCATTGTAAAAAGTTTCAGGAATATATTTAGACAGAAATATATTTGAAGTTGCATATCCAGTGAGTATTAAATATAGATGAAACCATTGTAAATGATGGGTAAGTGGACTCAAATACATCTATTTTTGTGTCTAATGAATGAATGAATAAATGAAATGAATCAAAAAGCACAAGCTTATGTAAATTCTCTTATATATATATATATATATATATATATATATATATATATATATATATATATAATCGTACATACATAAAAGCATACATACATACATAAAAACATACATCTATGCATACATACACACACACACACACACACACACACACACACACACACACACACACACACACACACACAACACACACACACACACACACACACACACACACACACA